TTAGGGTTTGGACAATCAATTTTAATTAATCCAACACACGTATAAGTTATCATTTTGAAAGGAACTGATATACATTTATTTTATACATATTTTGTAATATATTTATCATTAAATATGAATTATTTCCATTGCCTTTAAATTTTGTTTTACGAAGAATTCAATTTCCGCGCGATATCCAAACTTTTTCGACTCTGACACTTAAAGCTCAAACAGCGTTTGGTAACTGCACATTAAACAAATTTTGCCTATTTTTTAAAAACGAAATAATTAATTGACATCCCAGTTTTAGTGCTGTTATTGATGAATAGATGGCGCTTTAGAACTCAATTTCTGCACGTTGTCCAAACTTTTTCGACTGTCCAAAAATACTCTGACACTTAAACTTCAAACACCATTTTTTAACAATAAATTGAAGAAATTTTGCTTATTTTCTTAAAACGAAATAATTAATTGACATCTCAGTTTTAGTGTTGTTTTTGATGAATAGATGGCGCTTTGTCATCTATCTATTACAATCGAATACTATAAAAAACTTAATTCCTATATAGCTCTATCTATTTTTTTTTTAGTTAGTTTTTGCTTAGTTTATTTGCCAATACTTTTTATATCTTATAAATAAAAAAAATTTAATTAAAATCAAAAAAAATATCAATATTTTAGAGCACCCAATCAATTTCGTAGGAGTTTGGATTGCATCTGCCATACGAACGTGTTCACATCTCATATACAATGTATTGTTTTCAAATTCTCATCATATGTTTGTCTTTAGCAACAAAACATTTATTTTTGCTGTAACTGTAATATATGTCTTCACTTGTGATTAAAATAGAATGAAATCCAAGATACAATCTAAGGTAGCGAACTTAAGATGCCAGTCACTTTGCCGATTACCACTTTACATTGAAGTTTATGTGCAATAATTTGCACATCCAAGAAGAAGTTAAGAAACGAAGTCATCGTCATAAAGTCAATCCATGTGAATGGTGCTAATGTCAAAAATTGTTTACTAAAGTTTAGAGCTGAAGATACTTTAACTTAAATTGTTGTATGCACTTTACTTTGTTTTATTTATTCATCATCAGAAACAGAAATCGGATTTGAATCTAAAATGAATTTCCCTTCGCGAGTTGCAAATGATGAAATCGAACTTTTTGTCGAAACTGAATTACAAATATGTGGCATCTTTTAATTAAATCTTGATGAAAATGATTTAAACATAATATCACCTTCAAAACACATAAAAAATTATATGAATATGAATACTTGGGAATAGCAAACTATATGAAATATAAATCTTATTTAATAGAATTTTAATAGATTTGTGTTTAGTACTCTTTCAAATTGTGAAGTCAAGCAATCAAGCTAGAGTATAGATGCTACCACATATTTTCTAGACATTGTTCATCATTATTATATATCTTCTGTCATAAATGGTCTGCTTACTTTAGTATTAGTTTTCGAATTGTTTATTTATTACTGCTCATTAACCTTATACTTTTCTACCGATTATTTCGAGGATTTATGGATTCAAAACGGCTTTCTTAGCTAATTGAGGAGGATTCGTTCCTCCTTCCACCACAACTAACTAACTTTATACTTAAAATTTTAAACTGGAATCTAAAATGTTTCCCTCTTTAAATAAGATATAGTAGACATAATTGAATGCTTTCTACTTTTATAAAAAATTATCACTCGAAACGAACTACAAAACTGCCTTCACAAAACATATAGCCTGAAATGTCACTTTTGAAGCATCATCGTTTAACCTGTTTATGGCACCAACACCATCTAGTGATAAAAAAGCATGGATACTTACCAATATGACCCAATATATTATAATAGATTTTTAAATAATCCTTAATTTTCTTTGTTCTAAGCAATCTGTACAAACCAGACTTAATGCTGTTTTTTTTAGAACTCTGAAAGAAAAAATTACAGCTTATATGAAATATGAAAATCGTAAACACTAAAAATTAATTAATTTAAATTAAAGAAAAGGAATTGAATATTAGAAGGAATTGGTAAACATTTTCATCTTAGGAGGGGGGTCCCTAATTTTCATTAAGTCTTATTGTCTTAAGATTTTTTTAACTCCATTTATTTATTCGTTATTAAGGAGTTCACGTCCGGCCAAGAGGAGTATTTTACAGAATTTCACAGAAATTCTATGTCCACCGCCCAAAACGGTTTAACTTGCTCTGAATAATACAAAAATCTGGTTTCGGAAAAATTGTTCACTCAAGAGAGGTGTCCGCTTAACAAAGGTATCCGCTTAACAAAAATGTCCGCTTAACAGAGGTGTCCGTTAGAAGAGTTTTCACTGCATTTTTCATGCATAAATTAGCTTATACCAATAGAAACGACCAAATCTTCATTTTATTAACATAAGTAATTTTAGCTGCAATGGAAACATGATATAAGGCGCCTTTCTACATACACCACTTTATGGTGAATAGGTTAATTGCTATAGGTATTGTATTGCTGCAGTATTGAATGGTGTGTTACTTATTTTATTTTATACACACAAATAAATAAGCATCGGTGGTTCAGTGGTAGAATGCTCGCCTGCCACGCGGGCGGCCCGGGTTCGATTCCCGGCCGATGCAACTCTTTTTTTTTATTATTACGCTACTTGTTTCATAAATTTAAAAAAATTATTACTACTTTATACTTACATTTTAATGGATTTTTTTTAACACATTGTCATAAAAGAAAAATATTTTTTCTTTAAAAACGAATTTAAATATAAACGTAAAAGTCACTGATTACATTCGTCGTAGTGGGTCCAAGTCTCCTAAAGCTTACAAAACTACAGCTACTACTATCTCCAGCTAACGCAAAACAAAAATATATATATCTAGGTATTACAGATCTATGTATGAAATAAAGTAATATTAATAATTCTTTTAAATCATTTAATTGTTTTACAGTGTATCTAGTAAAACAACGCCTTCGCATATACTAACTAAAATTACTAAATAAAATATTTTATTTTATAATAAAATGTTTAACTATTAAAATCTGAGCTGGGAATTAAAATTATTGCAAAAAAAAGAATTGCATCGGCCGGGAATCGAACCCGGGCCGCCCGCGTGGCAGGCGAGCATTCTACCACTGAACCACCGATGCTCTTGGATCAGACGAGCTGTAGCTCAAATGCATTATAAAATAGACATTTTTTATAGAGTAAAAGAAATCTTTTTTAAAAAATAAACTATACTTTATATTACTTATCGTCTAAAATATACACATAAAATTCAAATATTTGGAATAAGAGTATATTAATGGTAAATTACAAGAAGTAAAAACCTCTCTACTTTCTTCTTTCAGCTCTGTGGTCAAACTTGCGCAAATAAACCCTTCTGTCAGATCTTAAGAATGACCTGATTCAAACTAGACAAGAAACGTACCAATCAGCTACTTCAACCTATTTCAACGCTTAACCTGCTCAGCGTTACAGTATCGGTAATGAAGGATTACTGCGTACTCGGAAGACTGCTATAAGAGTGACTCTGCAATGAGGTGGAAACTGAACTCTACTTCATTTAATAGTGTTCATCATTGTCTAAAAGAAGATTAAAAATCTTGAAGCCCATATTTATTCTTGCCGACTTGACAGAGCTGGCTGTCATCCTGCAAAACTAAGGACTTGCTCAAGTTTATAGACTTGTTAGACTGGTTCAATTTTACTTGAATTGAGGAAGTCGTACCTTTCAACCTTGTTCGTATAGTGACCGTCTAGGCTGCGTATGAATAATTCTAATACTTAGTATATCAACGAGCCATTATTTGAGCTCGAGTAGGCTTTAGACACAAGGCCTCCGCTCCAATCTAACCAAACTTTATGCATTATACAAAAAAGTTCTGTGCTCCACTATCATCACTTGTATCATTTTGTTGTTCTTATAACTCGTCTCCTATGGGACGAATGACACATGATCTGCCAAAAAGACCAGAACTTAAACCCGAAACACATATTATTAATTGATGTTACTTTAACGTAAAAGCCCCAACTTGAACCCTGGCCACATGTTTTACAACCTGACTACAGGTTTTATAATCCTGACCACAGGTTTTACAACCTGAAACAAGTGTATTATACATTGATGCTAAAAGATATGTATTTAATTAATAAACATCGTCCATATCATTCATTTGACTAGCAGTCAGAGTCATATTTACTATTACTATTCCATTATATTAAAAAATTATTTTATAAACATCTTCATATCTTTCTCCAATAAATTTCAAAGAAATACCTATATTTTTTTAATAATTAACATCCAACTATTTAAAAAATTGAATTACGTTACTTTATTATATATAACATTTTTTATGTTCAGTATATATAGAGATATATGTGTTTCAAAATGTATCTAATTATAACAATAGATTTAAACATTTTACATAATTTAATTACAAATGCTGTTAAATAAAAATATTTGTAAATAAAATTATTGTTAAGGCTTGTAAAAACTAATCGAAATACTTAATGGAAGTAACAATTATGAGCTTAAATTACAGATCAAAATTTTAAAAGTATTAAATTGACGAAATTCATATATTCATATGCCTCTAAGCAAAGGAATATAAGACAAAATTCATATATGATTCATAACAGTCAATGTTCATTCGTCAATTTAATTTAAACTATTTTAGTAATATATACTCTTAAAAATACAGCGGTAATTACAATTTAAGGAAAAAAATATATATGAAATATTTTCTGTTCAGATAAAACACAAATATTTTCAGAACGAAAATCCCTTTTAAACTAAAAATAATTTACATTGGTTTTCCAGATGAAAACTTTGATAAATTTTCCAAAAGTTTAATATAAGATGCATGTTCATAGGCAGTGGCTAAGTCACTTAATTTTTCAGCAAATTCATTTGTGACTCCTTTCTCCTCCAATAAGTTCATCAGCAAATCATACAAATACTAAAAAAAATTTAGTAAAATTTAATTAGTTAATTGAAGTAAAGTTCTGATTTTTAATATAATATATAATAAAATTAGACATCTCTATAATATCACCCATCTATTATGTACCCAACTGTACACACATAGATTTCATTATCTACCCAACTGTACACACATAGGGTTGGTTCATTCATGAGATTGAATGAACCCTATGAATAAAGTGTTCATTCATGAAAGTTTTCACATCCACCAGGATAATTTTACACTGCTAATCAGCTACATTAGCCTGACCGCTCCGTAACCCCACATATTTTAACCTCACAATTTCTTCCACTACTCCCAATACTCCTATGTATTTGTATGTAATTGATTCATGTTTTTGCTCTACGAGTTACTGCAACAACAACATAAACGGAGGCTTGATTCTAACTACAAGAATACTGGCGTCAAGAAACTATTTAATGGGTCTCCAGACATACAATCTACATACTTTACTTCTTGAAGCAAATAGCACATATATCTTATATACTTGAAGTAAGATATATAATAGGATATATATTGTAAATTGGTGAATTTAAGAATCCCGCAAAATAACACCTCTATCTTCGTAATTCCATGTGCTGTTTTAGATAGTATCATAACCACTGCCGCCAACATGCGAAATACCGACGTTTTAAAATTCGGTATAGTGTCCTAAAAACAAGATCAATACTTGCCTTGGCTTTATACAGATTATGGTCACCTCTAAAATGGTTACTTTTTATGCATTAACAGTACTATCAGGTGCATCAACTGCTGTTCTTCTCAGTCTAATCTCACCCAATTGTTTAATTCATCAATTAAAATCTAATAGATATGTGACTCCACTGTCTTTCTTCACTTGTATCAAGTCAAGTTTTTATTTTCCTATTTATTCCCATACCCATTCCTTTTACAATTAACCTATTTTCACCAATTTTTTCTATTAATAATCCCCAAATAATCGAAAATACTTACACCATCCAAAACATCGCCAGCGACAGCATAAACTTTGTCATTCCATTCATTTTCATACAAGACCATTTCATCAATTCCGAATACATCATCTAAAAAAAATTAATTATTTGTCGCTTTAATATTTTTATGTAATAATGAGGTGAGTCAAAAAATCTACAAAATCAGTAGAGTTTATTTAACGTATATGTGCTTTAAGATTTGTTTCAAGAACTAATAGATCAATTATGGAGTCATAGATGTATTGTATGCAATCAAAGAATATTGGTAAAAAAGGGGATGTGTAATTCAGGGGAAGTTCAGATCAGAAATTCAATAATCTTTTGAGTCATTTAATAAAATAATCATGAAAAGCGAAAATTTTGCTAAAGTGTAGAATTTCTTCTACTATTTTCTTCTATTTAAAATATTCATAAAAGAGCAGAGTATCCTGGTAGCAAAATATCATGACTGAATGTGTTTGAGAATTTCGTTAAGGTTAAATATTTGTTCTGGTTTAGTATTTGAGATATTCAATGAAATAAAACTGAACCCTCTTAGTGAAAGAATTGAGTTTATACTATTCCATTAAAGCGATATGCACCTATATACCATCTATACCATCTATATACCATTTTTGATCTCAGGTTTCACTAAAGACGCTAGATGACTATAATAACTATCTCTTTATATATTGTCAGTGTTTGAGGTCGAATATATTTACAAGAGATATTTTGACTAAAAACTTTAACTTAGAAATTCAACTCTACAACTCTACTAATTAGAATTTTTCGACATCACCTATATTCTTTAATTAAACCAATAAATTCTATAAAATATATACTTATATAGGTATGTATATCTTATAAATTTTTCGCTTAATATTGATGACTCGATTTAATGTTGAATAAGCAGTTTCGGAACTGTTGTGTATTATATTTTCCGTTACTGCAGTGTTTTGCCTATATAGTTATTTAGGGTACTTCATCAGGACTTACAGTTTTAATTTAATATACCATATTTGATTATGATCTTGAAGAAAACACTTGAGTATCGGTCAGCAAAATTTATAATTATCTTGAGTTCGGGAGCATTTGATGCATTTGTAACATAACACTCATAATCAATTCTTTATTCACTTGCATAAAACCTATATTATATTAATTTTTGTATTATTCACTAGCTGTAAAATAAAATTCATAATTGAACCAAATAACTAAATTTCTCAACCTATCACATCTATTTAATATGTCGATGACACTACTTACTGTATTCGCCCTCCTGTGCAGTGCCCTGAAGAAAAGAGCAAGTGAAAGATAGTGTCGTGTTGCCTCTCACAATGTCAACTTCAAATTGTGGTTTACTACGCATTTCACCAATATTTGGTTTATCATCATTAGGATTAATTTCTGGTTCCTCCTCCGAATCAACTGTATGGTTTACATTAAAATTAACCACAATTCTAGCAAAACGAAAATAAATAATATTTAAATATATAATAAGTATTAAATGCACTCACTTTTCCTTATCTCCAACTTTGCTTAATTCAACTTCTGCACCATCCAATTTAACATTGAAGCCATCCACACAGGTGGGCACGTTCTTGAATTTTTGAGATTTGCGTTCAGCAATAATTTCTTCTGTTAAAAATTCTACTAGTTCACGTTCACCTAAATCAATTAATTGTTTAAATTATTATAATTAAGTAATTAGATAATTTTCAAAATTATTATTCCATTTACATCATTTTTTTAGGTTATGTAACGGACAGCACGATAACTTAATAAATTATGAAATAAAATTAAAAATCTACTAACCTTTCGTATGCACATGTTTTTTTCCACCACAACCGCAGCTACAGTTTATGCTCGGCTTATGTAAGTCAAGTACTGTGTTATATCCTGAATTCTCTGGAGTCTTGGACATGTGCCACAAGGTCCGCGTAAAGTCCCGCTTGCCAAATACATTTTTCAATGCATTTGGGGTGGTATTTGTGGCAATTGTAGCCCAACGAAATGTATTTCTAATTAAATTATTCATTTTTTTTTGACTTAGTATTATAAAATTACAATTTATTATTAAAATGCAACTTCAGCGGCCGGGTACAGCAATTCTAACGTGCTTGAAAAATGCTGAGAACAGATGTAAGAAAATAACCCCACCAGCACAGCTGTTCACGTACACTGCCTAGTAGGAAATTGATGTTGTGCTGATCTCAGCCACATGAGAATTATTCTCGAATGATCAAATATATATTTAATATTATAATTGAATGATTTAAATGTGATTTCCCATTTTTTTGTTGCAACTTTTACAACTTATATTTCAGCATTATTTCATTTTTAATAAAAGAAATTCTCTAATTCATAAGAAGTGACTTTAGTTGCGGGCTAAAGTCCTACAAAAAATGAGTTCTACCTACTGAGAAATGAGTTCATAAAGAGATGGAGTACAGTACAATGGGGTAGAATTAGGGCTGATTTCACGTTCGCAATTTAAATCTCAAACCTGACTCAAGTATAAATTATTTTTTTTCTGGTAGTTGGAAAGCACCGAAAGCCATTGTAGCTATTGAAGTTTTTCATACGCTTCACATTGCTTGAATGTTTTGCTCTGAACAAATTAGAGATCGAATTTTCGAATAAAGCAAAGCAAACACAATTGGCCGAACGGATTAAAAAGGTCATAACAGTTTGGCGCGTCTTTGGTTTGAGATATTGTGGTGTACGCTCTGTGTTGACTTTTGTTGTTGAAATTCTAATTTTTGTGTTATTCTGCTTTAAATTGATATTTCATTAAAATTTAAATAAAATTAAGAATAATCGTGAACACGATACAGTATTATACTGTGTCGATGCAAAATGAGCAAATTTCAGTTATTGGATCGTAAAAGCAAAATCTAAAAGTCTATTTCAATGACCATGGGAAAGCTTAGCATTTAGACAACAATACTATTTAGACCAAAATTAAAAACAAGTGAAGGGAAGAAGGGAAGATTGTCTTGCTAAGTACTAAATAATACCAGGCGTAAACACAATTGTAGAGCGGAATTACATGAAAGACGCTGATAATGTCGTCCTGATAAAGGTCCAGGAAATGAGGAGCCTTGTATCGCATTTTATTAAGCAGTCGATACGAAATTGACCTGACTAAAGAATATCTGGGGAAGATTACTCAACGGAATTACATGAAAGACGCTAACAATGTCGTCCTGATAAAGGGTCAGGAATTGAGGAGACTTGTATCGCATTTAATTAAGTAGGTCGGATACCAAATTGAGCTGAGTAAAGAATATCAGGCTAAGATTATACAGCGGAATTACAGGAAAAACTCTAACGATGTCGTTCAGATAAAGAGCTAGGAGTTGCGGAGGATTGTATCGCATTTTATTGAGTAGATTGATACGAATGTGAGTTGGGTAAAGAATATAAGCGGGTGATTATGTCTTGTAAAATATTTTTACGCTAGATATAACAAAAAGTCATCTAATCGCTAAATTCTAGCTAGTGATGTTGGGAAAATGTTGCCCATTAGTTCTACGCTTGTAGTTAATGCACACTCCTTTCAAACTACAGAAAGCTTTCAAGTGGAAAGAAGAATAAGATAAGAATAAGAGAGAATAAGATTCGGGACAAAATGAAAAATAAATATGCAATAAGTGGCCGTATAAGTTGCCTGTAACAAAACAATTTATTTAGATATAAATTATGTCAGCAAAACTATTAAGACTTAAGTTACGACTCTAATATCGGTGTTTAATATTCTTATACTTTCATGGAATTCAATTCAAATAGACTAGAATAGACGCCAGACTATTCTAGTCTACTGACAGCTTTTGATCAAAAAAAATCTCAGTAGCTCATGTCATTTTATATATTTCTATCGATAAGTTCCAAAGTCCAAAAATTATTATTTTGAAAGTTAAAAGTTATGTGATTTTTATTTATAAAAATTTTTTTAACAATAAACATTTCCTATAATAAACTCTGCTGGTTTATTATATTTTGATATGTGGCTATTTGATATCTTACCAAATTTTGGTTGGTTCAGCCAACCTCAGCCAAAGAAAAGCAAAGATGAATGGGTAAGGTAAGATAATTAAAAATTAAACTTAACTTAAATAATACATAAATAAACTTAAACTTCTTTACAATATTATAAAAAAAATTTCTGTATAATAAAATTATTAAAAAATGTTTTCAAAAAAAATGAAAAGACCAAAATTTTAAATAATTAAACTCTTGGCTAAAAGTCTTTTCATATTCCAAAATTCTCAGTGCAAAAATTTTTGGGAACAGTTTACACTTTGAACTGCACTGTAATAGTAATACATACAAATCAGCTGTTCGATAGTTCTATGATAGGAAAGGAGGAATCACGTTTGAATAACCGCAGAATTACAAAACATCACATAAAAATTTTATCATTCGATAAGATTTGCATTTATTTAAAATTTTTATTAATTAATTTATTAATTTATAATGAACAGTCTGGGTGAGGAGTGTACGGAATTGAAAAAACAATACGATGCCTGCTTCAATACTTGGTTCTCAGAGCAATTTTTAAGGGGCAATACGGATGAATCAATGTGTGCACCGCTTTTTAAAACTTATCAGGAATGTGTTAAGGTAATTTAGATCACATTTCTACATAACAGTTATTGCTAATAATTTGGTTTTACAGAGAGCTATGCGTGATCAGAAAATAGAATTGAAAGAAGTCGAAAGTGATTATACCACCGGCGGTTATGATAAGAAAACTGAGCATGCCCAGAGCTGACCGCAGTGTTCGAGCAATCGAACAGAATCCATTCCAACAGCCAATCAATCAACAGATGACATATTTAAGAAGTCATTGGTTGATAATACCGAAAAAAAGGAACATAAACGTGCTAGCTCTTGGTAAAGATCAATTGCAACAATTGCCTACAATCGCAATTCATCTAAGTTTAATTAAAAGAAATTTAATTAAAGAAATTAAATTTACAAAATTAAAGAAATTTACTGGTAAATATCAGACCTGAAAGCATTTCTTTATTTAGTTTGTAGTTTATTCCTATACAATTTTTATGTATAACAAAAATTGTCACAACCAATTAATTATTTACAATATATAAGTAAGTTGACTTTAGATTAAAAATACATTCACCTTATAAAAAACTGTACCACATATGTTTGCTGAAAACCAATAAGTAAAAAATAAACTAAGTTTATTGTTTAAAAATTTAAAATAAATTATAATATTTATAATAAAAATCTAATGGCATGAGTAGTCAGCCATTATTGTTATTGTGGTGGCAACCAGCGAAGATCTATCGAACTATGGGTTAGGTGTTGTTAGTGGAGCAGATTTGGAGCAGATATTTAAGAGTAAGAATGTATAGGGAATGGGTAGATATTTAGTTGAAGTCAAACAGAACCAAGACTAAGAAACCTAGTCACTTCTTTGGGAAGAATCCATAGATCGTTGGACTCAACTTAGTGTGTGCTAACCGGCAGTAATCGTATCATCATGGCTAGTCATGGCAAGAAAAGAACATATCCTGTTTGTGGATATATACATATTTAAATAGTATTATTCACAGAGTAGTATGCGATAATAAAGACGATGGTAACTTGTAAACTTGTCATGGAATTCCAATATTCAAACCTTAATAATCCCCCTTATTATAAAAGGGAGAATATATTCGAGATATAGCCTGATACAGATTGCTCAGTCTAAAAATGAATAATGTAAAACCTATTATAATAAAGAGATATTGTCTATATCTATATATCGAGCAATTGAGATCAAAAGTTTAAATTATTTTTGTAGAATTTGTTATGTTGGAGAGAAAACAGTTCAATAATTATTATAACTCTAACTTGCTTAGAGCAAATTAATACGTAAATCATTTTTGAAGAATCTGTTATATATTAGAAATGCTCTACTAAGAACTTTACCTAACAGGACGACTAGCATAACTAGATCCAAATATTGTAGAAATAGATTTTGTAGAATCGTTTGTATTAAAACGGGTATCAATCTGCTATGTTGAAGAGGAATCAGTCCACTGTGTTAAATGGGAATCAGTTCAACGCTTATTATGACACTGACCTCATTTCAATAATACATAATTGATTTTTGTAGATTCTGTTGTAGTTAAGAGGGATCAACTAATGGCTTATTAAAGGACACTACCTGAAAGGTAAACAAGCAACTAGACTCAAACATTGTAGATATGATTTTTGTAGAATCTCTTGTATTGAAGAGGCATCAGACAACTGAACGCTTAATAAAGCAAATCTACTAATAATGATAGACGTGTAAATAGACTTAAAAATCCTCTAAGCTTCGTGCTCTGTGCGACTTTTTGAGGAAACACTAAACCGGTAATACCGAGGACTAGCTGTCGGATATCGGAGTGATTTTACTGGCTTGAAGTTTTACGCTGACTCGGCCTTTCGTAGTCTCTTGGCAATCTCGACTACCAAGTGCCGTTCACAACTTCCAAAAAGATTTTACTAGAAGATTCTCACGGGTCATTAACAATAAATAAAATGATTAATCTGAGTTCAAATCAATTTAGACTAAAAAGCCTAACAACATTATGTTTTTGAGTTGAGTGAGCTTTTTGGACTTTACCTGGATGGGTTTCATTTAAATCAGTATTAATTTATCAATAATTAAATATACTAGGAACAGATGTATGGCCAGCTTGTTAATTAGTTTGTTGAAGTGGAAGGAGGAACGAATCCCCATTAATTAGCTAATAAAGCCGTTTTGAGTCCACAATTCCTCGTAACGATGGATAGAAGAAAGACAAACTAGAAACAGCCAGAAACATTTATAAAGGCGAGAGTCTGTGCAAATGCTAATATTGATAAGTGTGTCAAAGAAGGGAAACACCAAAAACAGCCTAACCTGACCAAACCTGGACAGTTAGAAACATTTCTAAAGACGAGAATCTGGCCAATGCTAATACTGAAGATATCGCTGAGTATGTCAAAGTAAGTGGTCTCCAAAAACCTAAACCTAGTTCTGATTAAGCCTAGATATAGATACAACAGGTGCTCTGGTGTCCTTTGTTCGAGTGTTGAGAGACATACGTTGCAGGAGATACCATAGAGATTAACCTAGGTACCTCTGATTTGGTTCTGTGATACCTCTGATTTGTGGCAATTCCACTACTGTTCCATAAAATTAAGTATTTAGTTTCTTTAGCCAAAACGGACGTTAAAAATCAATTTAACATAATTAAATATGAAAAAAAAACTTTTATTATACAAAAATTTGGACATGTTAGATATGTTAGTGGATATGTATATAACTTCTATTACATCATGAAAAAGTGTTAATTAAGAATTAACAAAGTTGTGTATATCTCTAAGATATTTCTTAATAAAAATTTGATTTTTAAAAACTATCATTGATAATGACTTTAATTATAATTAATAATTTACTATAATTAATTAAAATTTTATAATTTTTAAATAAACTTTAAAGGAAGTAAGGAAAAAAGGCACTTAAAAACTATTTGCTATTAGTAACTAAATCTTTCGTTATAGTTCCATACCTGAGATTAGCTTCTTAGAAGTTTCTTGACTTTATTATGACTTATTATTTACAGTTTCAATTTGAGTTGTACTTCACCACAAAACGAAGTTTCCTCAAAATACTTTATACGTTCTTTACATTTTAGTTCATTGTGTCCCTTCTGATCGCAAATGTAACAAACAATTGCTTTTTCCGTTTCTCTGGAGTTGTAATTCAACAAAATCATTTTATTTCGAATATTTTGCCATGTGGCACAATTTTTCTCTATATGTCCCGACTGTCTGCAAATCCAGCAACGTTGCTTTGTCTGATACTCCGTACAGTTATGTCCTTCAACTTGTGTACAACGACGACAGTTACGGCAATGGACATAACTCGGCTTCACACATATACCACATAATTGGCAATGTTTATATGTGCTGCCGTTCTTCGATGGACAAATGCCGCACTGTTGGCAGTGACGATTCTCCAGAGCTGTGTAGCGCCTACAGCTAGCACAATATTTATACTCCTCCTCTACGGGTAATATTAATCTCTCAAGTGATACATTAGTGAAAATACGTGCAGGTGAACCCTGCTTACGTATTTTGTTCAAACCGTCCGTGTAAGTAGAGTGGTTTGTATAATTGACCTTATAATCAGACATCTGCATTTCCGGCATGACTTT